AGAATTGAAAAGAAAAAACTATGTAATAACATGTACACTGTAGTTGGCACACTGTATGTTAAGCCTTCCGGATTTGTTGTCTATAGAAGGTTTCATTATCAGGTCAAATTCTGTGTAGTTTAGCCAAATTATCAGGAAGAACATCGCGACGTCATCATCATTTCATATCACCAAATCCTATTTGGGAATCAAGTTTTAAATGGTTGCCTTTAGCGCTGGCTCACCATCAATGATCATTGCGTGGATGTACACACGACGGTTGTTCCTCTCTTCGGAGTGATTTACATATGAAAGTGTCGAGGTCCCGTTCTTTCTATCCCTCGCTCATTCTTATTCTATTTGTGTTTTTTTCATTACGTTTTTCTTCGGTTGCCCTACTTGCCTTTTTAAAGTTGTAATACGACGATGCCAGTATTCTACCTTCAGCTAGCCCTGTTAGAAGCTGAGTGTCCCTTGGATAAGAGGATTCGCGTGGATTAGTTTTCGTCATTCGAGATCTTCGCAGGGAAAAAAAAGAAAGAAAGAGAGAAAGAAGAAAAGGCACCACACCATTAAATGTCAAGAAAGAGAAAAGTTAGCTCTCTAAGAGGTCGGCAGTTTTTTCCCTTTTGAACACGATAACATTTATAGTCAATTGAAAACTTTGTTGAAGGGAAAAATCAGTGAACAAAGAGGAAAAGGGAGAGAGAAGAGAAGGGAGAAAGGCGGGAGAAAGAGGAGAGAGAAAGGAAAAGAAACAGATGAAGTGAGACATACATAGAAGAGAAAGAGAACAAGGTATATACAAGAAGTCAGGATTGAAGTAGGTTAATTTTTCAGTATCAGTGCTTTTTAAGCTTCTTTTCTTTCTGTAAGGTTGTGCAATTATATATAATATATTTATTTGAACTTTTTGTCAACCTTATGGCAAAATTGATTGAATAATCTATCAAACTTCCATCCCATAATAATAGTGATCATGGTAATGTTTTAAGGTGTAATAATGTGCTATATTTGAATTTTTTTCTAATTTTTTTTTTCTAGTATAATTTTGGTTTTTGCTCACCCGATTCGTTCGCTCTCAAATTGTAGCGACTCCAAGTTGGTATTTCGGCATGCGACACCCCAGGCGCAATTCCAACTGTAGGTATACGTCTATAATAATCCAATTAAGATTTTAAAAAATGAAACAACTACAATTGACTAGATTTGTCATTAACGGTTAGGACTCTGTAGGTAATACTCATTTGAATTGTCCTGTTAATATGCGAATGCGAAGGAGGGTGTGATTAAGACTACTACAGAAGTGTTAAAGTTGTGTTAAGGTTGTATGTCTTTGATACCTAACAGATACAAAAAAGTTCACTATCGGAATGGACTATGGAAGATTCCGGAAGCTACGGAGTTGAGTGGGCGGAGAACGTGTTTGAGAAGTAAAAGGGTTGCAAAGGAGGACGCTCATGACGTCGACGCGGGGTAAGGAGAGGGTCAGATTTGGGATACGAATAGAGTTTGATAAGAAGAAAAAAATTGTGTAGATGGTTAACAGACTTCTACTGTATCCTACTCTACTACTACTTCTGCTACTTATACTTCTACTACTACTGCTACTGTTACTACTATTATTACTACTACTACTACTACTACTACTACTACTACTACTACTACTACTACTACTACTACTACTACTACTACTACTATTATTACTACTACTACTACTACTACTACTACTACTACTTTTACTACTACTACTACTACTACTACAAATACTACTACTACTACTACTACTACTACTACTACTATTACTACTACTACTACTACAACTACTATACTACTACTACCACTACTACCATGACCACTACCACTACCACTTCTACTATTACTACTACGTACTACGTACTACTACTACTACTACTACTACTACTTCTACTATTACTACTTATGCTATATATAAAAATAATACTAATACTAATGATGGTGATGATAATGATAATTGCAACACACTCTGCCTGTCAATGCTATCCAGATACATGTATTACCCGGTCATCGGAGTCTGGCTTTCACGCACATAATGTGTTCACATTCTCCACTCCCTAGGGAGCTTTTTAATCAGTCGCTATTTTACAGGCACGCACGATGCTTAAGCATTATGTGTCGTACCGAGGATTGAACCCAAGACTTTCACTTTTGTTTTACATCCGGAACGGTGTATTGAAAATAAACACCATACATGATAATCGTTAAATTGGTTTAAATTGTCCAATACGCCTTTCAAACTTCATTTCAAAAATGGATTCATGCAGAACATGAGAAAACTTTTCAACTTTAGAAGACAAGTTATATCATAATTATGCAAGACTTAATCATGCCTTCTACAGAAGAAGGCATGATTAAGTCTTGGATAATACACTACAGAAGTGTATACAAGTCATGTCCAAGACATTTTAATTTGCATGATATCACACAAATCATTCAGCGATATGTTATTAATTATAAGTATAAAGACCACTGTAGAATATCATTAGAACATTTGCAAGAATCGTTTTACACAAAGAAGCTGACGATAATCAAGTCGGGGTAATAATTAGTGCACCCCGGAATAGAATTTCTAAATAAATATTATTATTATACATTTTAGGGCAAAGTGATGCTTAATAATCTTTATGATTATTCATTTTGGGTTATTTTGATTGATTTATCTAAGGACGATTTTATTAGAGCATAAGAAGTGCGCTTGCTGGCTTGCAGATGAGATTACAATGATCTAACGTTTGGAAGGTGTTCTCAATAAGTGGAAATTTTCCCACTATTTTGGGGGCTAGATTTCTTTAAATTCTGGCTAAAATTCAGTACATCTCCAACACTTCGTTTTTCCAACACGTCGTTCTTTCTTATAGTTGACTCATTTTACCATTTCCAGTTCCATTTTCACGATATCGTCTAGAAATGCGAACAATCCCACACATTATACTCCAGACGGAAAACCCGAAATGATCGGGTATCTATTTTTAATTCTTCGGTAATGAAATGCGAATCCTCATGTGAAACCATCAGCTCGCAAAAATGGATATTCTCTTTCCTTTTCACGGACACCATATCAAGCCAAGGGCGATATTGTCTTACAGTTACGGCGTCGCGCTAAAAACACAATCCGACGTCGTACTTGGCAATCATGATGATAACACTAACAGTACACATGACACCATCCACTTATTAATATCTTCGAATACTCAAGTCGAGGAAGAAAAAACTTTTAAACAAAAAACACACTGAAAAAGAGGTTAATTTGAAGTGTAAGATGCATAAGTATTTCACAGAAGACACAACTTTGTGAGTTGTCCATGGTAATGGGATTATTGCAGCATCTGACTTGTAATGTTTGACATCGTGATCAAGCTTGTATCTACATCAAATAGCGACAATTTATTTTTGATATCAAATCGAACGTACACATACTCGGCATAAGAATAAAATATTAACAATTAAAGTGATTTTCTCCCTTATCGTCGAATTTCTTATAGATGTATCTTTTTTTCTAAATTTTAGTTGTAACAGGTTTTTTTAATATGTATTGATACTAATGGTAAATATTTACTTTTCGTTTTAAAGAGTATACTATTCTCAATACAGAAAATGACATGACACTTGAAAATATATTCACATTTTGACGACAAATAACAAGATAAAAATCTTTCTTTCTCAGAAAATTGACCACGTTGATATGTTGTTCAATTTATTATCTAAAGCGAAAAGAATGCCTGCTTAGGACCTTACAGTATGAGATCCCAGAAGAAAAAAAAAATCAATTCAAATTGCGAAGTGTCTAGAAAACTACAATGCTGATCAGGATGATAACACCCCCATCGTCCTGGAATGACTCCGCCCCTTTTTTGTGTGTAAATGCTGGATACGCTGCTTGTTGTCTTTTTTTCCAGCTAAACAATCTGAGTTGGAAGAGATAATAGAGTACCATAATCGAGACAGCTTCATGCAAACGTGTATCTTAATTGATCTCCAATGTAAAATACTTATGAATTATGCAAAACACATTAGGCTTTCAAATGTCAGAAATCCAGTTCAGGTTACATTTTCTTCGTAACCAAGCAACACATTAATAACATTATGAAGTTGAGCACAATATAACAAATCTACACTACTTGTTTGCCAGTTAGGTAACTAATCTATGATTGTGAAAATATTTCTTAGCATGGCTTGATCAAGGCAGGACTTTGATATAAGAATATTATTGATTGAAGAAGGGCATTGTAAACATAACCAAATCTTCATTCAGTTTAACCTCCACTCTATGAGGATAGCCATAATGTTAAATGAGCTCTATATTCTCTTCTTTTTATATATGAAATATGAGAAGCATATTATGTGTTTATACAAAACGGAAGAAATTAATTGTGTTATTTTGCACCAATGCAAAAATTATTAGGTACATGTACGGTCATGAAATATAGATATTTGCTCGCTTCATTTGTGTGAAAGTGTAAAAGAATAAAGGAATGATCTCAAGCAATGATCAAGCAAAGATCAAGTCAAACTGCAATGAACAAATGCTATGTATGTTTATACAGGAACCGTATATTCCTAACGATCATTTGAGGGGTCCACAATTGTACAAGCATTGCTTTTTAGTGGACCCCTCTGTTTCCAATATGTTTTCCTTACTAATTGTTGTAAATGATTATAATTGATTTGTTATGTTTTGTTGGAAACAAAAATAAAAATGACTTGAATTGAATTGAATTGAATATCTGACTAATGAAATTCAATTACTAATTGTTGTAAATGATTATAATTGATTTGTTATGTTTTGTTGGAAACAAAAATAAAAATGACTTGAATTGAATTGAATTGAATATCTGACTAATGAAATTCAATTTCTTTGTTTCCCTTTCTCCCTCTCTTTCTCACTTTACACACACACATCGTTGCCATGACGCCTTAATACGACATCCACAACATTCTAATTGGTGCCTTCTCTCGCTGATTCCATGATGTCATCGCCGCAGACGTGTGAAACAGACGACGACTGCGCAAGGTTAGATCGGCCGGCTTGCTGCGCAAAATCAGTCATGGGTCCATTCTGGGTGTGTAAAGCTTTGGGAGAACTCAACGCTGCTTGTAATTCCTATAGTATGCCCCATATGTGGGGCGGACAGAGGAATGGGCACTTCTGTCCTTGTAAGCAGCATCTAGCATGTGTAGGACATAGACGAGGAGGGTGCGATCTAATAAGTGATAAGTAGCTTGGTGTGTCCATGGAGATGGTGCACATGAAAAGAGTCCTTTGTGACACAGAACCTTTGAAAAAATAAAAATGTGAAATAAAAAAAAACAATTCAGTGTGAAATCGATTTGATATATTGGTTAGTTTATCAACTTTATGTTGATAAGATACGAAAAATTAGGCTTCCTTTTAAGATTTAAAATAGAATGAACGGCCCAGCAATATATTTAATAAGGTGATAACACATTGATTAGGGTATCAGGAGTTATTTTTGGTCTCAGTTATAGAAATTCAAATTATTGATAATGAATTTCATAAATGTTTAGCTCATGAAAATATACGAAATGTATTCATTTAGTCAATGAATAAAATCTTCAATATAATAAAGTATCAATCAATAATAGTGACCTTCGTAAATATTGGCATTTAAAAAGTCTAAAATATTATGTACATTGGTGTTATTATTTTCTTAAATATTGTTTGATTCCCACCATGCGATCATACTCAAAATGGAATATAGTCTAAATCATAGAAGATGCATTCATAGCAATCCGTTTATAGCACTCTAATTACTGATCATCTTGAATTTTTATGTCTATTTCGTTGTTGTTGTTGTCATTGATTTTAATTCATTAAATTGAATGTAAAGTGAGCTCCAATAGATATATCGCGAGAACATTCCATTTAATTTCAAGCATTTTGAATTGGTATTAGGGTAATGTCATGGCATAACATTAAGCAATGTAAATAATGAAATACACACACTGTACCTAGGAGAGAGTGGCATGCATATGAATCATTTTATGAAATAAGAAGTTCAATACAAACTGTTATTACTTCTGTTATATTAGCACTTGAATATTTATCATTTTTTATATTCAGCTCTAGTAATTATTTCCAGAGGAAATAAGCAAGTCCTACCATGCTCAAACATTACTTACGTCATGGTTGTTGTTCTACCACTCATTGAAAAATAAAAGTAATTATAAAGATGTGTACTATAGTTATTTTAATTAACGCCACCATCGCCCAAATATAGGCTTTTGAAACTGTGTAAATCCGACTGTGTCGTTCATCTATGCTATCAAAAGATATTTAACTATATCCCCGTTTCATATATTCATATCCATCACCGAGACGTTGGATTCTAAAAAAAAGAACATAATTCTCCTGACTCGGGTATGAGAACGTTTATTGTCCACGTTCTTGATGAGTTTTCATGTAATTACTAGCTGTAAGGATTTAAACAAATCCGCCTTTATCCTGTCTTTATGATTCAAATAAAGGTATAGAAGCAGAATAAGGAGGGGCAGTCTGAGAAAACTCTTTTCTTTGTAGTCCACCTCAATAGCAATTATATCCCAAAATTATTTCAACAAAAGTAACCCCGTTTTATCTATAATTTCACCAACACTGTTCATAACATGTAGTACAATACCAAGCCAGAATTGTTGCCATCTTCAAAAGTCTTTACTACGACTACAACAATAATTGCCTGTCTATTCATGAAATCTACAATTAGGCCTTATATTAACCAATATTTTGTTAGTACATGTTAGTACAGAAGGAAAAATAATTGACATAAATTATAGCATCTGTATCTTTTTCTGAATATATGCACTTTTTTTTCAATTAAATTATTTTGATACGCTTGAATATCAATCATGGTAAAACAAAGTTCGCATCATGATGATAACAAACGTATTTTCTTTATGTTGCGTGTTCTGTATTATATTGCTTTAAAAAAATATTTATTTCTAGTCGATTGAAATTAAAGTTTAGATGTATATTTATGCACCCGGGCGACTTCTGTCTATATTCTGTTCCTATTCAGCGTTCGGTGAATGCCGTTGTATTAAAAAATAGAATCTACTGCATTATGGAGTGAAGTATATTCGATTATTTTTCTAAACTGTTGTATACATTTGGAAAGATATTGGATATTGAGCAATGTTTTGACAGCTTTATGTAAATTATGTTGGATACAGACTACCGGGAAGAGGAATCGAAATCGAGCGAGAGAACGAGAAAGATAGAAGCAGAAAGAAAGAGAGAGAGAGAGAGAGAGAGAGTGGAGGGAGGGAGAGAGAAAGAAAGGTGAAGCATGGATACATTATAATAACATTACATAAAGTTAAGTTATAGAAATGACTCGTAACTACACTGTCGCTCATAAAGGTGGAATATTTTAGTTTTACCCCAATTTATGGAATTATTTTAAAAATCATTAAAAAATAATAGATATAAATAATAGTATACATTCTCAGATTTTATTGAATAATAATTTGCCAATGTGTGTTTTGCGTGACTGCTAAAGCATGTGTATGCTACAATGCTTATTAATTAGGGGACCTACGCTCTCAAGTCATAAATGACAGTAATGAGGATTAATGCCCCACAAAAGGGCATTAATATAGCACATCGACACGGTTTTGATCCTGGGGCCTCACTATTACGAGGCCATTGTTTGTCACTGGACCATGACTGTACGCAGCGGGGGCTAGGGTAGGGGGCAGTTTCCATAAATAAAAAAACCCACAGAAAATGCAATAAATTTTCAATAATTTATTGCATTTTACCCCGGTCCCCCAACATAAAAAATCCTCTGGACGGCCATGCATTATGGCTCAAGGCATGGGCACACAGAATTTTTTGTTATGTTAGGCACCGGGGTTAAATGCAATAAATTATTGAAAATTTATTGCATTTTCTGTGTTTTTTTTAATTTATGGAAACTGCCCCCTACCCTAGCCCCCGCTGCGTACAGTCATGGTTCAGTGACAAAACAATGGCCTCGTAATAGTGAGGCCCCAGGATCAAAACCGTATCGATGTGCTATATTAGTGCCCTTTTGTGGGGCATTAATCCTGATTACTGTCATTTATGACTTAAGGGCATAGGTCCCCTAATTAATAAGCATAGTAGCATACACATGCTTTAGCAGTCACGCAAAACACACATTGGCAAATTATTATTCAATAAAATCTGAGAATGTATACTATTATCTAGATCTATTATTTTTAAATTATTTTTTAAATAATTCCATAAATTGGAATTAAAAAAAAATATTCCACCTTTATGAGCGACAGTGTAGTAAGGTACTTGTCCGTGGGTGTTTTGCATCAAATGAAGGATAATATTGAGGCACTATATGACACATTATCAAGAAGGAATGAAAGTATATGACAATTATTTTTCCAAAATTATCTCAACTACCTTAGAGATCTAGAAGAGCTCCGATCAATACAGATATCTGCACGTGTTTTAAAACCCCTGTTCACCCTTTGTTTTCTATAACCCATGACAACAAACTCGTTTTTAAAAGTTTGAAAATTTCATTTTGGGATACACTGTACATCGGATGTTTTTTTTCTTTGTTACTGCCATGTATTACACCTTGGATGGATGATGTGTCGTAGTCGCATGTTTAAGATTCCATGGAAGAACAGAGCAATTATCATTCTATTATTGTTATCTAAGTCTTTGATGCTGATATACTGTATTATTGTTTTTTAAGATTTTTCGGAAAAAACAAAAAACAACAACACACAAACAAACAAACAAGAGGAGCCAAACGGCCAAGACATTTCTAAATTAGGAAAGGGGATTGGGACGTGGAAATAAAATAAAAAGAAGGAAGTTAAACATTGGAAAATCATATCGATAATTTTTTCTATGAGAGGGCATGTATCACGAAAGGGGGGGGGGGCTGCTCTTACCCAGGCGCGTACGCAGGATTTTTTTCAAGGGGGGGGGGGGTTTAACATTTATAAAACGGGTCGAAAATTTCGCAACGACTCAGCCAGCCGCTGAATAAGCGGGGGGGGGGGGGGGGGGGGGGGTAAGAGAACACTTTTTTTTTTTTGGTCTCGAAATTTGAAAATTCGGCATTTTGCTCCGTTGGGGGGGGGGGGGGGGTAAGGTCAGCTTTTTTAGGTCAGCCATGGGAATATTTTTTTGTTTTGTTTGTTTTTTGTTTAATAAAATTTTTTTTAAAAATGCAAAGGGGGAGGGGGAGGGTTTTAGGGGGGTTGAGGGGGGGTTTAACCCCCCCCCCCTGTGTACGCGCCTGCTCTTACCAACCATACATCATGAGCCCAACACATTTAGATACAGGTGTAAGTTTTACACTTTATACGTTCTTTATGATAAGAATTAAAGTTAAAAACCACAGCAAGACAGTTTCAGAACCTGGATTTAAACAAGTGTAAAGTAGTGCTGAGGGCAGGGCAAATGTTCGGTGCGACAAAATACAAATAAAGTCTCTAAAAACTTCTATATAGGAAATACGGGAGCTGGCAACTCGGGGGCAAACTTACGGGAGTGGCCCCTCCCTCACCAGAATTAAGACAAACAAATAAGGTCTATTTAAACATAAAGACACAATATGAACACCAGGAAACAAAAGAATATAACAAGAAGAGAAATATATATTGTTAAAGGGACTTGGTAAACATTTAAGTGTTGAAAGATTTTGAAAAGCCTGTTTTATATCTTATTTCTATGGAAAAATGGTTGGGAGAATTTACTGTTAGAGGGTGTTGCCCAGTGACGTCTGCGAAGAAAACCATAAATATCTTTGTGGCTTGATTTTTTCAGGATTGTTTTAATGTTAGAGGGTTAGTACAGTAGAAGGAATATAATAAGTAACATTTCATATAAAAATTACGCAGTATTTTCATCAACTTTCAACAATGTTACCGGTTCACTTTAAGAAACCTTGGTTGCTATAGGAAACAAAAATAACCTGAGTTCAACCGAGTTTATTGGACTTTATTTGATTGATTGGTTGCTTTTTATCATATCCCACGCAAACATTAACAAAACATAATACATTTGACAAAACAAAGATATTCCTTTAGGTAATATGGAAATTGAAAAGATTTGACAATCATTTTGAGATCTTCTTAAAGTAGATGCTAATCTGAATGATGATTGCATGCTACAAACAGGTAATAGCTCTATCCACTCTGCAGATTAAAAACACTCGTTAAAGAAATACATAATTTATTGATTTATGGAAAGCCTATAATACACGCCTACTCATCTGCGCTTTAAAAAAAGACCTCATTGTATTTGAGTTTCATTGTTTTTTAATAGATATTATGCTTTTTTCCACATTTTCCCAAGAAAATTGACTCATGATATTTTTCGAATTCATAGCTGCATGCCTTTTAGAGAAGAAAATTGTTTCATCTTATCCGATCTTAGAGATTTATTAAACGTATATGAAAACTATTGACTAACTTTCCTTTGAATGCACTACCTAGTATTGAGAAGATGTAATTCGTTCTGTGTTCTGGGTAGTAAGTATTTAAAAAAGAAAGACCAAATTGGGGAGGATCTAACCCCGGATAGAAAGATTATCTCTTTTTTTCATTCACTCTTTTGTGTAATGTACAATCAAATCATTTGATTTTGACAAAGCGCATTCTTCGATTAGAAAGATTATCAACATTATGGTCAAAGTAAGTTTAAAGAATAAAGGGATGAGAACTTTGGAAAGAGGCTCTGGTAAATTATACCAGATCGCACTACCATTCTCTTTGTACTTTAATGCTCTAAAAGAGCACAGGACGTCAGTTTACAAACAACAGTCTTAAGATGGAAAAACTATCAATATTTTGTAGGGAAATGTTTTAATACCACATATACAGTATATATTATATATACAGTGTGTCCCAAGAATAAAACGAAACCCCAAATACAAACTATTAGGCCCCCAAAAAGATGTTGTATTTTTTATTAACTTTTTTGTCGTGTTTTTTCTCCTTCTTTGGACTGATATTTCCCAGTTTTGAATGCTTTAATATTTTTTCTCTAAAAAACGGTAAAAATAAAATTTTTTTTTTTAAAAAGCCGACCGTAGATTCCAAGATTTTTGGGTCGGTCGCAAAGGGCAATACAATTTTTTTTTTTTAAAGGCCTTATTGTGAACAGAAAATGAAAGGAAACCCCCCCCCCCCCAAAAAAAAAAAAAAAATTTAAAAAGCCGACCGTAGATTCCAAGATTTTTGGGTCGGTCGCAAAGGGCAATACAACAAGTTTTTTAAAGGCCTTATTGTGAACAGATAATGAACGGTATATCGATATAATTCCTTGATTGCCATAAACGATTCACTGAACATTTTTGGGGGAAATTTCATGTCCAAATCCATTTGTGCCAGATTTTGGTGAAACCATTAACATGATATAGGCTTTCACGTGAGCATGACCGAATATGACCCGACGGAAGTAATAACTTTGACATCTAACGAGAAGGTTCTTTTTCACGTGCTTCTGTTAATAATGAGGGCAATTGTTATACATCATTATACGATTAGGGACAGTGGAGATGATGTAGATTGATTAAGGTAAGCAGGATATTACTTATATAGATGACATCATACAAAAAATGACATTAGCATTGTTCAGAACTGCAACTTGTTATATGAGCCAAGAGGACAATCGGGTTATATGTCCACATGAATCGTAGTAAGGGGCATCATTCCTTTTAATAAACCGAAAAAGGTGTGGTCCAATGGGTACATACCCTCAGAAGATGCTATTTTTTCTCATTGATGACGTGCACCATTTTCAATCAATTTTGTATTGCTTGAGGTTTATTTATTGTTTGGGGGAAATCTGAGGGCGTACACCGCTTTAACCTCGGATTTTTCAAATTTGTTTTTCAATGCAATCCATCTCACACTGGAAAGTACTTCCTTTACGTCATTGATCCTTGTTATACTAGCGTTTTCACGGTTTTACCCTAATCTGGCACTAATGGATTTTAACATGTAATTTTCAAAACATTGTCGTCAGTAAAGCGTTTGTGAATTAATGGGATCGATGTATCATTTGAAAGCATATTACTTATACTTTATAACAAATAAGG